TGGTTTTTCCGGAAATGGTGAGAGTGTACATGAATAAGAGATTGGACATATGAAGAAATTAAATGTTTTTATGATAATTATTGCTTTTTAGATGCTCTAAATCAGTATCTATATTTGTATTTATATCTTTTTCRTATACTAAACATCGTCACTTATCCTTATTAGATATTGAAACAGATGAGGAAGACACGGATGAAGGTTTGTGTATTTCTAAAACCAAAACCTTTATTTAATGTGTTATTATTCAAACTCTTCCTTTTTTTATTTCATTAGCAAGTATCACTGGGATAATTTGATATTGCTCATTATTGTTGTTATTCCAYCGGGGACTATTCTACAAGGGCTTGGTAGGAGGTGTTCCTATAATGGACATACTCTATTTACGACAGGAAAAAATAATGCCAATTATTATATCCTGGTTATATGACAGCTATATGGTCCTTGAGATGGTTTGGAGATGCTGTTTCAATGTATTCTTTATATAAGATTAATACAGTGTATGTTAGCTCTAGGATTGTTATTTGATGCCACTTACTGACGAGCTTGGCCATGGGTTATTAATAGAGTAGATATCCTGAATATGACAAAAAACGCAGAACATTTTGAAGAGTAGAAATGGATACACTGTTGTTTTTATTGTTTTTATAGAACAGCTGATCCCGTGCAGCCCRAAAGTGGGATTTCTTGGGAGGGGCATGAAGGGTAAGAATATTGCAAGTTATTTAGTAAAAATAAATATTGTTTGATAATATCATAACATATTCAGTCCTGGTATCATTAAGTAATATTTCAAATTATGTATCTATAGGTATTGATTATGTTCCTTTTATTCAAATGCCAATAATCTTCAGTAAAGAACTGTCATACACCTTCTGTCTGCTGTATTTGTTTGTTTGTTTCTTCATTTCCAGTTTCTTGATTCTGTTCTTATGAAAATAATTAAGCTTATTTTCCTTATTAGATATGAATCAATTACAATTCCAAATTAAACATTATTTTATGCCAATTGCTTATATTCATGTTCTGCTTATTCTTTTATCTATTATCATTAAGTTTCTAACTCAAAAAACATTTTGTGCTTTTCTCTTAGTTGGGTCCCTGGCTGAAACCTCTGCACAGTTCATTAGAGAATCACACAAAGCTGGTATGCTATTGTAATTACTACAGTCCGTTTTTGATAGTATAAGGAAGTAACCATGCACAAAGCAATTCATCTGAGGCACCAGGGAAACAAAATAGTACATTAGGTTTACCTATTTGTTTTCCTTGAGACTCGTCTTGAATTGCTTTGTGCGTGATCAACAAACAATGTGTAATGCTGTGTTCACCGATGAATAAAGCTTTATAATCAATTGATAGTTACTGTATATTAATAAGGTATAATAATTATTATCTAGTGCATGATTTGGACTACATCCACAGCATGTGTGGAGGGGATCTGATTTTTCTTCCTCCAGGGTATAATGAGGTACTGTAATTTTTATCTATTATTAGCTATAATTTATATATGAAGCTATAACATTTTCGTTTCAACAACTTTTTCTGGGATGCATAAATGGTTCTCATGTTAATGTTTTTTTTGTTACTCAAATTTTTTACAGGCCTGTTATCATGCCATCAATCTGGCAAGGCCATTTTTGGCGATAGTGACCACAGGAATGGGTGGTGAATTCGAACGTCTCTGCAGGTAAATGGGACTTAGGTAAAATTTATATCAAATGAAATATTAAAAACCAATAGTATTAAAAWATCGGATGTGTTTTAAAATTTAAGGTCTCTAAATATCATAAGCAAAGACGCTTCCATGGCCAAGCAGAACTTTCCTCTGCTGTTCTATGCAAAAGCAGGAACAGTAGATGGTGAAGAAAGTAAGTTAATATCTTTTTGACTGGCTCCTATCATAAATCCTATTTGATTTTGTAATATTTGTTTTTGCGTATTAGGAAATGATGCCATTCAGAAGATTTAGTCCCCTCCATGCAATATTCATGTTCATTCTCTTTAAAATATTCATATTCAACCTCATATCAATTGAACCTTCCCTGGTAAAACATGATCTGCAAGTTTAATGAACCAATAGCTTTAAAAATCATTGATAATGTATAAGCATTTTGTCCCTAGTGGAGTGATTAAGGTCTGAAAAGGTTTGACATCATGAACATATGCTTATATTGCAAATTGGCTCCTACATGTACAAAAGCCTTATGAGAAAGTCAGTGAGTTCTTGAAATATTAATAATGCATTTTTTTTAACAGTTTTATCAAGATACACCAGCAGTGGTCACTGCCATGGTCTGGATGTATTTCTATGCGTGCCAGACCAGAGTGAAGACCTGAGTCTTGTGATTCATGAATATGGTTAGTAATGATGCATATTGTAGTAGCATTGAAACTATGGTTTCACTGAGACAAAGTACAATCTTTGAAAACTGTTTTGGAATAATGCAAATAAAGTTAATACCTTATGGTAAACAAAGGTTATATCTATTTCCTTGGCTATTTATGGGGGATGTATGAGTAGCAAAATGGACTTCCTTCTCGCCATAATTAACAGTCATGAGCAACATGTGATTATAATAACATGGTATTTCTGACAGGTTTTGAATGAACTCATGGTTGACTCCAGGAATTAAAAAAGGGGGGTTCAGAAAATTTTCAAAACCTCATCAATCAGTCTTAATGAAACRAGGGAACAAARRAATTGTGTATTCTCAAAATTAATTTTATATTCATGCTGGCAAAAAGGAGCGACATGACCTCATCATCTCCCCCTGGAACTTCTAAATTATTAATAAAAACTGAATTGTCAACAGGTGCAGACTTCAATGGCATTTTGAATGCCATTGCCAATTGTTCAACGACCCTGGACAACTACAGGGCATTGAGGTATAATATTAATAATTAGGTGTATAAMAATATAATAGTACTTATAATTTGAAACATTTCCACTAGTTATATACCAAAATTGTATGGATACTGTCTATGGAATATAGGGTAATATTAAGTACTTTTACATATTGGTTTGGTCTTTCAAAGTACGTTCAGACTGCCTTTAATCAATTTTCTTACATCAAAGCCAAGGATAWCTATTTTCACATTTGCATACAACAYTTTTCCATTCTTYAGTTTTTATTTAMTTTTTTTTCAGTTTTTATTTAMTTTTTTTTCGTGTTTTAGGAACCAGCAAAGCCAGCACAGAGGAAATGTGAGTACCCTATAAAGTTMTTCAAATGTTAAATAACCTAATTACAACACAAAAGACAATAAATTGCTTTCCTTCCCCTCAAATTAATGTCAAGGAATACTGACGTGTTGTTAAAGCAAGGAGGGGAAGTACATGGGAATAACTATGTACAATAAACTGTTTTTCAAATTCAGATATCATATTATGTTGTGCCTCATATTTGAGTTCCATAACAAAAATCTCACCAAATTATTACAATTTCCATTAGGTAATTCAAGTTGACTCTGAAGAAGAAGTAGGAGATAGTGAGGTAAGTAAAGGT